CACACTTTTTAAGAATCCTAAGGTGCATGTCTTGTTGGGACATAAATGGCCACAGTGCTTGTAGTCTGTCCTTTTGTGCTAATACCCATTTGATTGGTGAGTCTTTTTCTATGTCAAAAATACTCTCATCAAATTTATTTTCTACTGTATATCTCCATGCTGGGCTACCCCATTTATTAAGGATCTGTTCCTTCCACCAACTCCAAGGTTGTTTGCCATGACTGGTTCTGATATCATTGAACCATCTTCGAGCAGCTCCTTTGAATAAACTACTCAATCTTCCTGCTATAGACAGGTCTGATAATTCAAAATCTTCCTTGAGTAGGTCTATAGTCCTTATGAATTCTAAGTGGTCATATTCTCCTTCACCTGTAAATTTGGGCCAATCTTTGATTCTGGGAATCTCAATTCTGCTCCCATCTTTACTAGTCTCTTTTATTTCAGAGCTATTCTGGCTAGGAGTTATGTGAGGAGGGGTTTGTTTCACATGGTTATCTTCTGGAATTATGGTACCCATATTTTCCTTCAAGGGAAAATATGGATTATGCACCGGTCCTCTTGGTTCAGGGGTGTAAGTATTACCTGTACTGTTGTTATTAACATAGGTAACTGGTTGATTTTTCTTTTCTTGGGTTGTTAACTTCTCAATTAACTCCCCAATTTTCTCACTTAATGTTAAATTAAGTTTATTCTCCATGTTGTCTATTCTTATGTTGATGTTGTCTTCTAGAGTACTCAATCTGTTATTTATATTCTTCTCCATATTTTCTGTTTTTTCCAATATGGACATCATATTCTCCATGTGTACTTCAGAAGTTGTATCACTATCCAAATGGAGTTGTTCCAGTTTTTCAGTGATGTCTTTAGTAATAGACACATCATTTTTATTTAGTCTAGAATATAACTCATTCCTCAATTTCTGTATTTCCAGAATAATGAGGTCTTGGTTATCTTTCTTATCAGATTTTTCTTTTTCTTTACCAGAGGTTGTATTTTCTCTGGTTGTTGAGTTGTTATTTTCCATTAATTTATTCAGAATAATGGTTTTTAACTCTTTCAGTGCTTGTACTATGCCTGGTATTTTCTTAGCTTCATTAATGCTGACCTGGAATTCTTTGTTGTACTCAGCAACTGATATTCCAAGCTGTCTCACATCATACTTAGTGTTGTAAGAAACTTGTTTTATTTCATTGATCTTTTGATCAATATGTATGATATTTTTAATAAGAATTTGATCAGAAAATTCTGTGTTTTCAATTTCAGAGTTATAGATTTCTGAAACTTTAGAGCTAGGTACAACAGAGGGTGTAGGGTGAAGTTTAGAAGAACTAGCTATGGGTGCCGAGGAATTCATTGCTCTGCTGCTTCCTTGAAGTCCAGCATAGCTTGGGCTAGGTGAGTCACATTTCTCCAGCTTTTCTTTTCCGCCATCCTTTTTCTCTTTTGCGCTGCCTTCCCTCTGTTTTGCTTGTGAGGTTTGGTCGCGCCGGCGTTTGAGTTCTTCTTTTTCTTGGGTATCTTGTACCCTTTGAGCTTCTCCTTGACGGTGCCGGTCGTCGTTGGCTCTTCTACTTTCGGCTTGCTCTTTTTCTTCTTTTGTTCCTTGGCGTGGTTTGCCCAGAACTCCGCTACCTTGCGTTCCTTGAAGGGGTTCCAGTCGTCGACCTTCTCCTTGGTTTCCTTCCAGCCCAGAAAGATCTTGACGGTCTGGAAGATTTTGATCGTTTGGTCGATCAATTGAGGAAGGAGTTCGTACTCCTCGGCCGACTTTGCGTTCATGTAGACCTTCTTCAACGCGATTAACATGTCTATCATGGTTAATTGATCCTGCGACAACGGCTTCTCTCCCGTGAACGCTGGAATTGAGAGACGTCAGCGAAGACTCTGATGTATGAGGATGGGGGGAAGAGGCTAACCTTTCGGTGCCTTGTCGATTACTACCGCGAGTTCCTCTTCTTCCCCTTCCTCGGCCTCTTCGTGTTGGGGGAGGTTTTGCGCCATGGTCGACTCCTGACCTGGTAGATAAAACCATTTTTCGTTACTACTGATTTATGTAGTACTAAGAGATAGAGAAAAAAAATAATACTTTTTAATAATTCCTTCGCCGCTGTTATCGCGTCGAAGTCCTTCTCAATAACTCGGGAGGGTAAACTCGCCGGTGGTCGTTTCTCGGCCTGCTCAATCTGGATCGGACTCGCTAGGTCCTTTGGTGGTACTGATTGTGTACGGCCTACGGTGTTAGACACTATATTACGTCGTCAGTAAGTTTTTCTCTGATGTAACTACACCACGATATATCTTACTTTTGACGCTGATCAGTTAAAAGCTGTTGCTTTTTGCTTCGGTATTTCGCTGGTCGGTATTTGTCGTTATGTTTCTAAGAAAGAATCAACGATTGATCCTGGTCAGCTAAATGCTCGGCTAGGGTCTCCTTTTATGTTGTTCTGATCGAAAATTCTAGAAAAAGGATTCGATAGGATATTGGTAGAAATCTTCTCGCGTGTTCAATCAGCGCTTCTTGATGAGAACGATCCTGTTCTTGTTCTAGTAACTAGTCGGTAGTTCTCTATGAGAACGTCAATGTCTTTGCCGACTCGTTTAATATGGGAACACTTCTCTCTTAATACGAGAGATTTCAAATTTCTGTTTTTCTAGAAAAACCTGTCAATGACTTCGGTCCTTGAAGGTACAGTCTATGTTTCTAGAATAGTTAAGCAAAGCCTGTGTTTCTAGAATGTTTTCTTGAGAAAAACTCTCTCTGTTTTTTTTTTTTTTTTTTTTTTTTTTTTTCAGAGAGTAGAAACTAAGAGAAAAAGACTTTTCTACAGAAAAACCTCTGTAAGGTTTTTAAATTATGGGAATTTTCCTGGTATAGAATTCCTGTCAGAGCCACAGGCAAGAATTCCCAGAAAATATAATTTCAATACAGAGAATTTTCTGGCACAGGTTTTCCTGAAAAAAAAAAAATCTCAGGAGGATGGTGTGATGAGAAAAAGGAAATGGTGATTGAACCACAGAAATTTCTCTACAGGTGTATTGAAATTTGCTGGAATTTTCTATTAGAAAATTCTGGCTCTAAGATGAAGGGATCAGGCAGATGAGGCCCCCACTTGTCAGCTATGTGTATGAAACTTTGGCTTAATAATATAAGAGCCAAGTACTATCACTGTGCTGAAGGACTCAGGTTAAAGACCAAGATTACTCCTAGTCACCCTCAAAGTATTAAGTGGTCCAAACTTCCCACTTAAGAGGTTGAAAAGTCCACACTCCTCAGTTAAAGACACTTGAATAATCAAGAGAGCACTGTAGGAGACAATAACAGAATATGTTATTGTAGAGTGTTTGGAAGCAATAATTAATATTGCAAGAAGTAGCTGGCAAGCACCTGAGCTGAAAGGCTAAAGTCAGAGGTGGTGGTCTTGCAGCAACTAATTTTTAAGGAATTAGTTAAGTTTTGAGTCTGGGATAACTCTCAGCTTAATAATAATTCCAGTAAGAAGGTAGGGTTGGATTGGATAAAAAGACTACTTTAAAAGTAGGTGGAGAATATTCACTGTACTCACTAAGTGTACTGGGGGTGAATATGCTGAGGAACCAATAGTAGGCAGGAGAAGGCCTCCTTAAATATTCTAGAGGTCCCCTTGAGGCCCTCCTTAGAATATTCTAGAATCTCTCTTTGGTCTACCATGGTAGATTTATTCCCCTGATGTAATGGGAATAATTCAAGGTATTTCAAATAATGTATATTCTATGTCCCATGACATCATGATGCATATTTATAGCCAATTACATCATGTGTCTCCTTAAATAGAATACTACTAGTAGAAAGTGCCACACTCTTGACATAGTGTGGTAATTTCTTTTCTACAAGTTTTAATAAATTGATTATGCTTGTAGAATAAAATTTCTAAGGTTACCCTAAATGTATATTTAACCCTAATTTAATATACATTAATTTTATTCTGTAAATTTATATATTTTTATTCCTTTTGTCCTTCAAAAGTTTGAATATATACAAAGTCCTTGAAGGAGTGGGAATTTGGGGATACTTCCAGTGGAAAACCCCCTTTATAATCTTATGAAATATTGTTTTATTAAATAATATTACTACATATTATATTATATGTGGAGTATTTTAATACTTAATATTCATTTAGCAGTCTTTTGGATACTCTGGAGTATCTCTAAGGCTGACAGGGGCCTTGTGGCCGGTATTGATCCTTCGCCCTACTGATTTTACTATTACCCAGCCAGCCAATTTCAACTTCAAACAACCATGACGCCAACTGCCTCGATTGACTCCAACAACAAGGGTTGCCTAGCGCAGTTCTGTACTGTAGGTTCAGGTAAGCGTAGTTCCTTTCAGCTCCTCGGTCATTGCTGTGTACTATCTCGGATTTGAGTCTGGTAGGTATTTTCTGATTCGGATATGATGTCTTCTATATAGTGGCCGTCAGGTTTGAACTACAGATAGTCCACACCATCCTTGCGGTATCGATCCCGCCTCGAGAGGGTTCCAGCGAGTTTCAAGCCTTATAAATCGAATCACCGGTCTGTTGTCGATTTTCATTTACTGATGTTGATGTGGGGTCGTTTGCAAGCTATCAGGTAGGCTTTCTTTCTCCTTGGTTGTTGTTGTAGTGTTTCGGCTATAAAAGAGAGGGGCTTCAAAGTCCATTATCATCCCTCCTCATCACTAGTCGTTATAGAATTCCGAACTTGTCTGAGATGGTCTAACTGCTAATCCGAGCTGAAAAGGACTGAGTCGCTAGTTCAATTATCAATCATTGCTACTATCCCACTCAGGTAAGTTTTTTTTTTTTCTTCAGATTTTCAATCGTTCCAAGGAGCATGTAACTGATAGTTTTGTATCTTGGTCATTTTGTCTGTTCCAGGGTGATTGATCGTTCCAAGAAGCGTAGCATTTTTGGCTGTATATAAAAAAAACTGAAAATTTTTAATAGTTAGCAAGAGAAATGAAGCACCCCTCCCCCAACTTAACAGGTTGTCCTCAACCTTCAACTGAGTGATTCCAGCAAATTGAGTGAGTGATTTGAGGAAGGTAAGAAAGGCCAAAAAAAAATTTAAGAGTAAGGGAGGATGGTATGGTAAGGGAGTGTAAGTTTTTGAAGGTGTGAGAAAAATAAGAGATTTATGGTTGATAATGGGGTGAAGATTGGTTTAAGTGAGAAAGGTAAATAAGGTAAAAAAAATGAAAGAATATGAGAGGATGGTTTCAATGAAGTGTGTAAGTGTTGAAGTTGTGGGATAAATAAGACGTATGTAAAAGAGCATGGTGATGGTGAGTGAAGTATGTCAGAATGTGAGTCCTCCCCCAACTTGAAATTGATTCATCTGACTGATGTTGAGGAAATTGAACTGGTATTTTGTACTTTGACTTTTTGTGTGATGAACAGTTTAGTCTCATGCCCAGGAGGTGGCCTTTTTTTTTGAGATTTTTGAGTGGTAAAAATATATTTAAACAGGGAAATATAAGGGTATGGAATTTGAAGGGAAGGAGGAAGGTTAAGAGAGTGACTGATAAAAGAGTGTGAGTTCCTCCCCCAACTTGAAGATATTCTGATATTTTATTCTTGAAGGCTGATATATTCTTCTTGAACTTGACAGAAACTTTTGAAAAGGATTTTATTTGAATTTTAACCAACTCCAACCAGTAGCCTTGGGAGCTTGATGTTTGTTGAATTCAGTTGAAGAGGATCTGGTGGAATGGATATAGGTAACTGAGGAAGGATCTTCTGGAGTAAGTAAATTAGAAGAAATAATTCCCTTGGTAATTTAGATGGAGCAATATTGTCAATTGGTAACTTTGATAATTGTCTAGTTTTCCAGTTTGCTTCCTTATGTGGATTAATCAATGTTGCTGTAATATCTGGCGGATCCGGCGGTGTTGGAATTGAAAAGACTTTTTCAGGAATTGATGCGGTCAAAATTGATGGTGTAAATGGTTGGCTGGAAATAGGCAAGTCTGTTGTTTCAAGATTTTCCGGAGCCAATGGGGAATGAACACTAATAATGTTTTCTTTTGGTTCTTCAATTTGGGTATTCTCAATTTCCAGGTGTTGAGACGAGTGGTTATTGATCCGCAAAAGTCCAAATATGTCCAAAAGAGGCTTAAATAGTTGCTTGTTGAAGATCTTGATTTCCAAGTATTTGTTGATATTAAGCATCCAAAATTTGCCGGGGATTGCAGGAAATTTGTGGTCTTCCTTGGAGTTTTCCGCAAGTAGTAAATTTTGAATCTTCACCGGATTGATTTTGAATGATGGCAACTGATCCAAAGTTTCTGGTTGAGTTGATTGATCCAAGATTTCTTCCTGATCCACATTGTTTTCTGTATTGGGTTCATCTAGAACTATATCCGGGATTTCGATTACTGTATGTACAAGCTCCATTGGTGTATCCATTACGTTTATTGATGCCGCTTTCCATTCTTCCAGATCCAGTAGTTCGGTAGTTGTGACTGGTTCTGTCATGTTCATTGAGGCCACGGGTATGGTGACATCCATTGACTTTTCTGTATCAGCAATGGTGAGTTCCGTATAATTTGCTTCTGGCTCCGTATGATCTGTCACTAGTTCTGCATCTTCCGTCGCTGGCTCCGTATATTCCTTCACTAGTTCCATACGATCTGTCGCTAGTTCCATATAATCCTTCACTAGTTCCGTATAATCCGTCGCTGGTTCCGTATATTCTGTTACTGGCTCCGTATGATTGATTGCTAGTTCTGTATAATCTGTCGCTAGTTCCGTATGTTCCGTCGCTAGTTCTGTATGTTCCGTCGCTAGTTCCGTATATTCCTTTGCTGGCTCCAATTGGGACAAAGGATGTGGAGTGTTGCATATGACAGGTGATTGTGACTCTTGAAGTTGTTGTTTGAGTGACTCAAGTTCCTTGGCTAATTCTTTCAATTTGATCTCCACCCCAGCCGCCTCTGTAAGGTGTTCCCAAAGAGGGGGTAACCTGGATCCATCGGGTGCTTGTGGAAGTTGACCATTTTGATTTAAATTCCATTTGATATTTCTCTGGAGTTCTTGAGGAAAGGCACTGATGAAAAGAACTAAGGCATCCTGTCTACTTCTCAATTGTTTCTGGATGAGGAGGAAATCAAGTATTTTGGAAAATTTTTGAAGGTACGTCTGGAATGCTTGGTAGCTGACTGTTTTTTTATCTCTAAAAAATTCTTCAGAAAGGTTGACTAGATCAGTTGTTGTATACAGAAGTTCATACTTGTCACCCCATAATTCAAACATTGAGGCCCGTAGAGTATCCCAGTCACATTCCTCGTATCCGTTCATGGACTCGATTTGACACTTCAGTTCCTCGGTTCGCACAAACCGTCCAATCTGTAGGGCTCGATCGTATTTGGTTGCATTAAGTGAATCCGCGGTCATCTCGTATTGCCTCAAGAATTGCATGAAATGGTGTCCGTTGTAGAAAAGTCCAGGTTGTTCAATTAGAACTGGTTTGTTTTGGTTAGTTGGTTGTTGATAAATTGGTTCCTGTTGTTTGGGTTGTTGATAAGTTGGTTCATCCATTTCTAGGTTCTTGTCAATTCCAGCTCTGAATAAAGGCAGATTTCCTGTCTTCTTGTTCTTCATCCAAGGTGGTGATAGCGCTGATGAGGACATCGTAGTTTCCGTATTTCGTTTTAAATTTGAAGTTGGCAAAAAAGGTCCTTTACTATAATTGGTTTGTGGAGCAAATGATTCTTCCATATCTGATACACCAAACGGTAGATCCATGTTGATTTTGATTGATTTTCCTAGTTTTCCTTACTTGACGCTCCTTGGATACCTAAACAAACGGCTTCTCTGAAAAAGAAACAAATAAAACTTTGGTCACTGGTTTCTTTACCAGGGCAAGCTTATGGCTTTCTTTTTAAATAATAGATCAGTTAAATACTGGGAATTTCTTCTTTCACAGAATCTACTTATCCAAATCCTTTGGGTACCTTTGCCCTTCTTTTGGTCTATAAGCAGCTGCTTTTTTTCGAATATTTCCTGAGTTGTCGTCAAACAGTATCCTAGTTGTCCAGATCCTTTGATAATCTTCCTTCTTCTGGTTAATAACTGGCTGTCTTTTTCGAGTCCTCGTTTCAGTTGATTCCTACACTTTCTTTTCAGAGGTTGGTTGTTGGTGTCGTTGAATTGTTTATTGAAGTTTGACTAGTTGATCAACAGAATAACTGAATATGCCGCTGAGTAGTCGCAAATATGGTTGATAAATTTGATCCGGTTCCCGCTAAAGTTTGTGATCCTTCGGCAATTCCTTCTCGTTATTTGTTGAAATTCGATTACTTGATGTAGATCACACAAGTTTATCCTATCACGTTGGGGACTCCCTTGTAAGACTCAAAAAGTGGTTGTAAGACCCTTTTTGCTGAATGGAGAAGGGGATGGTGGAGGTGCAAGCTCTGCCCTTCTATACTATCAGATAACAAGACCCACCAAGCTCAGCTTGGCAAGTTTTAATCAAGTGATAGGGTAAGTTCAGGAATGAGTTTGTGTGATGCTGAGAAATGAGTTTAGTTGTTATTGGTGTTTGGTAAGGTTCTGTAAAGGTGGTGTATCTGTGATTGAGTGGTACTAAACTTGTGACTGATGAATAATACACTGAGGAGACAACAACTGGGAGGAGAGCCTCCTTATATAGACAATAATGAGGGAATTTAGCTCCAGGGCAGCCAGTAATGAGTGATTTTGGCTGGCCTGTGCTATTACATGAGGGATTTTAGCTACATACATAAGTTGAATGAGTGAATGTGATTGGTCAGACATGTACAAGAGTTGAAGTGGTGATCCAAACAGCTGAATGAGTGATTCTGATTGGTCAGGTTGTGTGGTGTTTACAAGTAAATGTGGCGGTTTAAGCTGCAGCTGTCATGCAAGGAAAATACACTAATTTAGGCTGCAGGTATGATGTAATATGTAGAAGTGAAATGTAAAGAGTGTAGATGTATGTAAATGAGTGTGTATGTAAACGAGTGTGTATGTAAATGAGTGTGTATGTAAATTAGTGTGTATGTAAATGTGTGTGTGTAAATGAGTGTGTATGTAAATGTGAGGTTGTACTGTACTGAGGGTGTCTGTAGCTTGAGGGTTGTAATTGTGATTGGTGATATGTAGTGATGAGTGAAATCCTTGTGATATGTTATCCATTGTTGGGTAAGGGTTGATCCAGGTGTGTTCCAGTGACGCCTCCGTGGTGACCAAGGGTGAATTTGTCCGTGGTGACCAAGGGTGAATTTGTCCGTAGAGTCCAGTTCTTGAGCCGTATGGTGCGATTCTGATGGGGTGTGAAAAATAATATAGAGAAAAATATATATAAGAAAAGAAAACAGGAAAAACTTTTAATTCTTCACATTTTTGACTACCACACCGATGAGGCCCATAGACCCCTCCACACCTGCAGGTACCCGGTTACCCGCCCTGGCAGACGTGGCAGGTGCGGGTGCGGGTGCAGGTGTCCAAAAAAAGTGATTTTTGAGGCGGGTACCCGGGTTCAAAGTGACATCTCTATGAGGGGCTGGGGTAGCTGCCTTCTGTTTTGCAGATGTTGACACATATGACTTGCTGAGTTCCAGTGGCTTGCAACTTTGCTGGCCTGCTTTGATGGTTGTGATGTGTGAGCAAACCTCCCACAGCTCATTGGTGATGAGTTGGAGGTTGCGGCTTTGCCTGGCCTTGCTTTCCATGAGTTGAGAAGGAATAATGCCTCTGTCATTGTGTCAACATTCAAGGTGCCTGCTGCCCTGCACCTGGATGGATTGGCTTGAAGCCATTTGAAGAAGTTGAGCAAGGGAAAATCTACTAGAGGCAGAGCTACTGGTCAGTGTAGGGCAGTGACATGGGTGGATCCTTCCTCTAGAGTGGTATCCATATTCAAGTCCTTGGATGTGTCCTGGGAGTCAGGGGGGGATTGCCTGGCGGCATGGGGAAGGTGAGTAAGGTTCTTCCAATGAGCAGTGTTGTGTTTGAAGTTTTGGTGGGTGGGAGAATAGATTTTCAAAAACATTTGATGTGGTTGCAGACAGAACTAACAGACTACTTATCTGAGCATAATCCAGTCTGAACAATCTTAAAAGTCTATCAAATTCCGTTGTTAAATCTTAAGAAGGAAGAGGAAATGTGTTTAGGGATGAGTGGAAAGAGGACAGAATTTCAACAGGATTGAATTTGAATGATTCAAGAGCTATGAATGTCCTTCCCGGGTCCACCGTGGCACAGCTTCGCAGGGGATGACGTACCTTTCACAGGTTTAGACCCAGAGATCGAGATCGCCAGCCACTATCAGTCTATAGCACTGAGAAGGCTGATGAAAACACCCACATGGCCCAACAGTTCAGAAGAAAGCCAGCGCATCAAGATCCTACTCTGGACGAACATCAGGAATCCTTTGTAAAAGTCAGTTTGTCTCATCTGGCAACCAAAACTTTCATTCACGGAATTGATCAACTCTCTCTCTCTCTCTCTCCCCTGAACAGATCGGAACACCCTTACCTTCGTTGAGCTCGACAAAAGCGGATCAGAATGTCTTTCTACCGATCTGGAAACAAGAGGTTACCGATGAGCAGGGAAGAAGGAGACTACATGGCGCGTTTACTGGCGGATTTTCGGCAGGTTACTTCAATACCGTCGGCTCGAAGGAAGGATGGAATCCGGCAGAGTTCAAAAGCAGTCGGACTGATAAGAGAAGCCAGCCAAAAAGCTTCACTCAAAAACCGGAAGATTTCATGGACGAGGAAGACCTTGCCGAATTAGCCCAGTCTAAAGAACTTCAAACCAACTCAAACTTTGGCTCGACCTCCAATAATTCATTACGCTTACCCCGAAAAATTTACGACCCGTTGACAGGAGCGATAGAAGGAGATGCCGAATCCGATTTGCTTGGAGGGCAGCCATCGCGCCCATCTGCAATCGATATCGCACTGTCGGACTTGGTTCAACCAAGCAATGCTAGGGCTGGGCAGAGAATTATGAGGAAGATGGGATGGCGTGATGGACAAGGAATTGGACCCAGGATCACTCATGAAAAAAGGCTCTTGTTGGCATCTAAGTTGGGCGTCGATTTGAACTCACAACTCGATCTGGAAGACGATCCGGAGCGCAAGAAACATCTGTATGCACCCATTGATCGGCCCTTGAGGCCGATGCAGCCATGGCCCGGAACTTCGGGGCTAGGTCACTCAACATCAGCACCATCCCACTATTTGAACGAGCCATCCTCATCTGCTCCACATCCCAGTACGGCAGCGAAGAATCAAGGTCCGGCAATCCCAAAAGGCTCATCTTTTGGCCTGGGCGCTTTGAACGACACAGAAGACGACGATCACGACGTTTATGCCCCGGCGTTTGATCAAGTAACCTCTGATCCGCGTGCTCGCCGCCTCCTGAATTTGTCTGAAGACAGGACAAGCTCTCATAAACAACCACCTGGTCGACAATCTACCAAGATCGCGAAGCCATCCACAAGGCCTGGAAAACAGGTGTTCCAAGATAATACGCCGCTACCGAAAGGATTCCGCTTATCGGACACTCTGAAGAAGGATCCTACATCCGTTTCATTTGTCCCTCCACAAGTTCCAGAAAAATGGAAGCCTTCTCCGACGCAGATTTGGGACGCTGCAAGGTCCCATGGACAGCCTCTTGGAGTTCAGCCGAATCCTCGACAGTCCGCTCGTCCAATAAATGCCCATGACGTCAGTGCCCACTTCAACTTAACTTTTCTATTTCACAATTCTTGATGAATAGTTTCTCTTGCTGAACTTCTGTCGTGAGGCTCTTGCAGCGTGCTCGATTGATAGGCGAAGATGCGCCACCCAAATCGGTCTTCGACTTCATTTCTGCTAAAGATAAGGCTCGGTTGGACGATGCCAAGCAACTTGCCCAAGCTTCACTGCATTTCAAGAGTTTGAAATCAGAAAAGGATGACGAGGGTGTGACTGTCGGTACATCAATCACAATACCTAAGTTGGACTCAAGCATTGCTCAAGCCGCCTTGCGTGGCTTTATGCCGTTTTCACACGATCTACCGAAACAAGATCGTTATAAACTATATCTACAATCTCAGGCCGGTATGCTACCGAAAGGAACTCAATTCTCCCCCAAAATCACGCCGCAAATGACCGCCGAGGTGATCAATAAAGAGTTGGATGGCTTCGTCAAAAGTGCGATGATGTTTAAACCTATGAGCGCCATGATGGCTTCCCGGTTCACATCAGCCGCTAGCAGCTCTGCGGGCGGTGAGATGGCAGCCCCTGAACCCGGCCTTCGCCAGCCCGTCTTTCTTGAGGAGGAGCCCGAAGAAACCTCAACAAAGGAAAAAGAAGGCGAAGAATCAAAAGAACAGGAGGTAGTCAGCGATGCTGCTCAGGCCGTCCGTGTGGACATGTTCGGCATGCTGACAAGGTCGATCAAGAAGTTTTATCCGCAAAAGCTTCTTTGTAAACGGTTCAATGTTCCCAATCCGTTTCCTGATGGCCCACCCGCCGAACCGATAGCGAAGACGAATCTGGCTGAATTTTTGAGTTCTCAAGGGTTTCAACCTGCTGCAACTCCCGTCAACCCTGGGGATTTGGATGAGCCAAAATCGGAGACCACAAATTTATGGCTTCAAGCCGAAACCAAGCAAGATGCCCCTCAGCCGGTTGAACAGGTTGGTTTGGGCAGTGACCAAACTCAAGGCCGGGAGATTTTGACGACTTCCAGACCCCCGATCGACCTCTTCAAAGCGATCTTCGCCGATAATAGCGACGATGAAGATAGTCATGATGGGCCCGATGATTTAGCCCATCATGGACCCAATGAAATCATTCCGCCGCAGGCCTCCGTCAAAGAAGATTCAGACCCAAGCTTGAATCTCACCCGAGTAGTCGACCAACAAGTGGTTTCCCTTACCCCGGTCGTCGTCGATCCTAAAGCGGTCGAAAATCTCACGAGCTTCCGGCCGACGTTCCGGATCCAGAAGGATGAGGAGTTGAGCGCGATGAATCCTAACGAGACGACGTCGAGCAAGAAGGCCACCAAGAAGAAAAAACGGCCGGTTTTGATCTCGTTCGATGAGGAGCAGGCTGATGGACAACTTGAACATCCCACCGAATCGAAGAAAAAGAAGAAGAGGAAGAGCAAGACTTCCAGGGGTCAGGAGGAGGAGGATAATAAGTCGCATCGAGAGTCTTTGGCTGAAGACCAAGCTTCTCGCGACCCATCAAGGGCCAAGGATGTCTGGAAAGACCAGGAAGAGGATGAATGGGTGGAAGCGGCGGTCCCGATTCCTCCCCCTCCTGACCCCCAGAAACCTAAATTAATCGAAGCTCATTCTTCTAAAACTTACAAGAAAATGACTCGCATGAAAGCAAGTGATATGATGGATTGATTCCTTCTTATTATTCTTCTTTGTACATCTATCTTTCAATTTTTTTTTTTTGGAATAATACCCTTGCCTTTACTTCGCTCGTCATTTTTTTGTCCGTCTGTTTATTTTGAAGTCTCACAACTTTATAGATCAATTGAAAAAGGACTTCTTTCAATGTTGAAACTTGAACCTATCCATAAAAAAACACAGCCAGGAAACAACAACAAATGGTCTGGAGTGCGTTTCTCTTTCTTCTGATGAGGATGGAAGAGGTAGTAAATAGGTGGTTAGAGGTGCAGCCTGCCAGTGCCAGACTACATGTATGAAAACAAGTGATTCCATATGTTGCGTGGTTTGACTTGGCTCTGCTGCATGTATTTAAATACTTATGTCACGGCACTTTTCAGAAGAGGCATTTGAGGATTTTCAATTATTAGGGAGGTTCCCAATCAAGCCAATCAAGACACAAGATGTTCGGTATAACTCTTGTCTCCTCCCATCAACATCTTGAGAGCTTTACATGCACCTTAGAAAGTCCACATGGGCTACATACATCAATTTCCAGACAGACATGGATGGCTGTTAATAGTTGATACATACTGGACTGGCTGTTTCGCCGCTAATTCTGCTTTCAAAAGATCCCTGACATGACATGACACGTTGAGACTTTGTTGCCTAGATTTCTTGTTAATCTTCAAAAATGCTACGTAGATCATATTTTCAGATGTGGCACTTTTTCTAAGTTTTGAATACACCAATCCAATCTGGGAGGGATTGAGTTCGACCATCCGCATCGCCCGCAGCGCTGTTGCGCAGCACCAGCTGTGCCAGACTCCAGCCAACAACGACCCAGTCGGACGATGACGACGAAAATTATTGGTGCTTCTCTGTTGACCACTTGAACCATCATCCACCGGAAACCAGCACACACACACACACAGACTGAACACAGAATAATAACAATCGAAAACAAAAACAAAAAAATCTGCCCAATTCGAGGATCCACCACCATGTCTTTCATGGACGATCCCGGTGGTCACTACCCCCTCGATCGAAAGCTGGCTCAATTACGGGCTGACTTCGGAGAGGACATCGCGGTGAGTCGAGCCATCATCCGATCCGGCCTGACCAAGTATACCCTACCGTCTCTGTGCTGACCTTCCTCTTCCTTATCTGAAATTCCTTCAGGTCTATGACTACGCAGATGACGGCTTGATCGAGTCTACGGCTGGACTGGAGGAAGACATGAACGATTTTAATGACGAGACTTTCGGAATGGATACTGTCGGTGAGTTGAATGCACATACATATACACCCCTCATGTCCCAAAAAATATCATGATCCGTACTATGTGCGCTGAGACCTGTTTCTGAATTTCGGATTTTAGATAAAGATTTCGATTTCTCGGGTTCCACGGCTCAATACCTTGGTGTCTCTGAACCCCCCAAGCAAAAACCTCAAGGTGGTGCGAGTTGGACTACCATGTCAAGTCTCTTGGCGGACCGTGAGCCCGGCGGATCTTCAACTCCTCGTCCTTCTTCACCGCCCCGTCGGAAGGCCGGACCCGTCAGCCTACTCGATGATCCATTGCTCGCGCCCAAATCGACCATTAGCCACCGCCACTCAAGCGGCCCATTCACTCCTCCAAAGCCACCCGGAAGTGCGCCGGCTACCACCATCTCCAAACCTCACAAGATCCGTACCTTGGAGGAGATCGAAGCAGAACTCCGAGCCAACTCCGCTGCAAAGAACTCGATCCCCTCATCCAGTCTCCCTCCTCAGGCATTGACTCTCGAACAAGTTGAAGCTGCGCTGTTGGCGAACCATGAAAGAAAGCTCGCGACAACTACCGCCAGCAGATCATCCACCCCTCATGCACTCCCCTTCTCTCAGCCTTCTTTACAGGGTCGGACTCCGTCAGTACAGCACATCCAACGCAATATCAACCTACAACCAGTCATGTCATCTCCCGTCATGGCGCCAATGACCCGGCCAAGCCACACTCCATCTAGTTTGCCTCCGCACAATCATCCAGCTCACCCAGCTCATCCGCAACATTCGGAATGGTTACGTCTGCAGCAGCAACAGCATCAAATGTACACCAACATTCCAACGCAACAACATATGCCTATCCAGCCCTTAATGTCACGCCTTCCAGCCATGCCTTCTCCCCCCCAAGTCTTACCTGGTCGACATTTATCCAATCCCCCGGGTGTCGGCTTTGGCCCTAACATGAGAGCTGGATCTGTCCCGCCTCGGAGTGCGACTCAAACCCCATTTGTTCAGGCCTCTAATGTTACAATTCCGGTTGAAGAACTTCGATCTGCGGCTGAAGCTCGTATACAAGAACAAGAGCGACGAGAAGCTCTTCGTCGCCGAAAGGCTGCCAAGATTGCTGAGATGTCAAAGTACAACAATCTTATGAGTCAAGGTGACAAAGATTTCATCACGCGGATCCAAGTCTCTCAACTTGTCAACCCCAGCCACGGCCAGGTTGGCTTTGACCCGTATGCCGATGACTTCTACTTCCACGTATACTCTGCCATCCGTGCTAGTCGAATGGCTGCTCAGCACCAGTTTCACACAGCAAATGCTGGTAGACGAACCCATACCGCTTCTTCCGACGAGAGGATCAGCCAAGACTATGATGGAGTCGGTGGATTCGAGCCAGTCCGGAACTCCCGAACGGTCGAAAGGCGTTTGACTCGGCGGGACCATGCGATGATTCGAATGGCGCAAAATGTTCAGCGGATCATCGATCACGCGAAGGAGCGCCCGAAGATGTCACAAGGTCCGCATTTGATCTCCCTCGAGGAATTTTACTTCTACTAATAGTATTTCGTCCGTTCATAGTTTCGTTGGAGGGAGCGTTGGGTAAAATTTCTCTGCGAACTCGTTCTGCGCCTAGACAGATGCTTCAAGTCCAACCGACGTCTTCAGACGATTTGACTACAGCTGCAGGAGGTGAAAATCATCCTGGGGCGCTAGCGGGTTCATTGCCAAACACTACTCCGGTGTGTAAAGCCTGGATTGATATCATTTGATGCTTCACAAAGTGACTTACACTGATAATTTCTGGACTTCTCTTATCAGATAGGTGCTGGTCAACCCGCCATGCGTCACCGACAAATTTTGATGTCATTAGAAAGATTATATTCTACAGTACTTGAAGTCGAACAGTTACGCCGAACCCAGCCCAACGTCCAATTGAGTGGATTCGATATGGAAGAGGCGAATAGTCAACTGGAAGAATGGTTAGTGGATTTCCGTAAATCTATGACAGCAAACAAGTCGTTTCTGATGTACGTCCATATCTTAGGGAGGCTCAGTACGAAAGTCAAAAGGAGAAGATTTGGAAGCAGCTTAGAGTCTTGGATCCCCTTGGTATAAGGTAAATAAATAAAACCGTTCAGTATTCCGATCCTGATGTTTTTTACAAATTAGCCACCCCCACCCCTTCGTCTCGTTAATTTCCGTTCCAAAGGGCAAACGTGTCCTTCCTCGAGTGATCCGACTCTTGAATCGGGAGCAATCCCTTCAAGTTCTCACCCTACTCGTCGCCACTTTCGAAAGCCTCGATGTCGTGTCCGATGCGCGTTTACTCGATCTCCCCTCGGAGTCGCCCTTCCCACTGGGGAAACGAAGTCGACCGGAGTTTGAATTGGAGACCGAGCTGTTCATGAACTGTGTGGTGGCACCGATGATGACTGTCATTAATGAGATCTCGTTAGATCTTGTCACTGGGCTTGTCTCACTTTTGATGGCGCGCAACGACCTCATGCTGATTGCACGCTCGAAAGTAAGCTTTGATAGTTATTTCCTCTTCAAAAATTCACAACTTTTATTTTATAGACGTAACCTAACGACGGTTGACAACTTTTTTTTTCGCAGGCGGGGATCGCATTCTTGACCTTGTTTTTAAGTCGTGCGGAGCTGCTAAGGAGTGCACCACCTCTCGAGAGTCAAGAACAGAACGACTCAACTCTTCCGAGCCACGAATCGATCTTAAGATGGCAAGGGGTGTTCAACCAATTGTTCCACTATCTCAGTTCCGACTTTCCGTCTCTATTCCCATCGACCCGTTTAGCTGGAGCATTGTCCTTAGGAGCTGGCTTACCACCACAAGCGATGACTGATTCGCTTGAGATGAACCAGAAGTACATGAGGCCTGGGATCGATCTCGAGGATGAACCGGTCTGGCAGTTGATGGCCGCCCTGGCCGTTTCGACCGACTCCGATGGACAACAAACTTTGGTGGGCGGATTGAGAGGTAAAGTCTTGGAGAACGTCATCGCCGTCAGCAAGAAATCGGTCTCGGATGAAATCGGAGCTTTCAAAATTGTTTGTCTTTCTCCTTTTTTTTTGGTTTTCTTGGGCTGTGCTTTGGTGCTTGATCAGTTGCTAATGAAAATCGCCTTTTTATGCCAATTTTTAGAGAAATGTCAATTTGATGCTACATGCTTTGGGACTAGACGCAAGTATGATAAAGCTTTAGATCGTTAAATATTTATACATGAGATCTACCCCTTCTTTTTTGCAACTTTTTTTTGTTTTGTTTCTTCCTTATGCTAGCTTGAAATTTTTCTTTTCCCCCTCTATTTCCCTCCTCAATATTTACATGCAACACAAAAAGAAGAGAACAAAAACTGATTTACCTGCGCCATCATCATAATCCTCTAGAAAATTATTTAAGAAATAACATTATAAATTGAATTTGGTTGTTTGAAGGATCAAGTAATATATATTTATATATGCAAGAAGTCTGGTGTTGGATTTGAGCTCTTATGAATATTTCATTTGCATGGGTAATCTCTATTTATGCCACTTGAAGCTCAAAGTCAAGATGAGAAATACTCTCCAGCCATGGTGGATTTGATTGTCATGTATCCCAGCAAAAAAAACCTATGGATGTGGGCAAACATGTTTTGTTTTGTAACTTGTTGGCAAAACTTCATGAATGTAGCTGCCAGATGGTCATTCTTTTTGTTTTGTTAACAATTCATGGCACATAAAGCTCCCCACAAGGAAAGTGGGGAGAACTTTCTTCAGTACATGACATACATTCTATTGCTTCCTGTTTTTTCTACAAAAGAGAATAACTTTTGAGTGCTCATCTGGTCGGCTACCTGGTGCTCAGCTCTTCCAGAACCAAGCGAGCGAGGACTTTTAAGAATACCTGAAGTGTACAGTGCCTAGACAGTGAAAAGTGGCTGCTTATTTTGGATTCTAGAGCTCCAAACAACAAATTTGAAATCATGAGACTTGGTCAGGTGATGCATAATAGGTTCCAAAAAATGAATATGAAATAATAAAAGCAAAAAATAAAGTTTCAAAATTTGTGAAAAATAAAAAATAAAATTGATTGTTTTCAAAAGTTTTGATATTCATTTTGGGGGAGTGGGAGTGCTGAGAGAAAGAAAGATTGGGAAATGAAAAGAATGATTATAAATGAAAATTTTGGAAAAACTGATTTTCAGATGGCTTCAAACAGCTGTTGAGTGAGGCATTCACCAGCCCACATTGAAGCAAAGCACTAGAATTTACTGTTATGGCTCCAATCTGGACCACCGACCTGGCCAAACCTTTTTTGGTTCCAATTTTTTTCATTTATAAATCATTCTTGCCATGTTCCATTCTTTCTTTCTCTCAGCACTCCCACTCCCCCAAAATGAATATCAAAGCTTTTGAAAAAAATTGAGTTTATTTTTTATTTTTCACAAATTTTCAAACTTTATTTTTTGCTTTTATTATTCCATATTCATTTTTTGGGAGCTATTATGCACCACCTGACCAAGTCTCATGACTTCAAGTTTGTGTTTCAGAGCTCTGGAATCCAAAATAAGCAGTCACTTTTCACTGTCTACCCACTGTACACATGAGTTTCCACAGCTGTGCCCAATCAAGTTTTGGGGTACAAATTTCATCACCTCTGGTCTGTACTAATGCTGCTGGATTTTCTCAAGAAGAGTGAAGAAAACAAATCGTGGATAGGTTTGATACATAAATCAAGTCCATAGATACATTGATGGCATACATAATCTGCGTCCTTAATGGCACACTTGTTTCCCTGGGCCAAACCCACAAGGAACGCTACTTTTGATGTCCAGCAAAACCCGCCCGTTGAGGCCCTGTGCGCCTTCTTTGATACTGACCACGCCGGACTATGCAAAGGGACGATAAAAGTTCAGGTCGCCATCCGTGATGATCTGTATGTTCAACCGATCTTTCTGAAAAAAAACAAAGGGAATCGGGTTTCTTACCTTTCCTTTGCACTGCCCAAGCATCTGTTCGAATGTATTATCCAGGTTCCCTTTGGTTCTGTAGAGTCAAAAGAAAAAAAGAAAAAAAGAAGCAAAGGGGATCGCTTCAGTCCCAGGCGACAATTGGGCTCGTATAATACCCCTTGGACTCACGCGAGAAGTGCCGAGTCATCCGACGTGTAGATAGTAACCTGATTAGATCAAAGAGCAATCAGTGAGCTCTTGAATCGAACATGCGAGGTAACAGAAAACAAGTTTCTTGGGCTCACATTGCATGACTTGTAGGTGCTTGTGACTGAGGATGTCTTCTGCTTGGCTGGACTCAAGAATTGTCCCTGACCATTGAGAGGGATATCCTTGTAGGCCCTACATACACACACGATTCAATCAAGTCATCAGGGAGGAGACGACATCCGATTTTCCATACTATGCTTTCAAGAGAACAGCTGACATACTTTTTGCAATCCTCGCTTTGAGTGTCGGGTGCATTCATGTTCATTCCACATGTCGGCTTGAGGAACGGATGGTCACTCTCGTAGGCCGCGTACGAGGCATTGGACCGGTGCGCAATGTGTAAGAATACCCCCTCGTTAACTTTGAGGGGACCTTCACCAGCCTACAATGTCTCGATTATTATGATTTTTTTTGTTCAGGTGTTCATAGAAATCTATTCAGTACTGATTCGAACCCTTGCTGCTTTTGTATGCCCAAGAACCGGCTCACATGTGGGTTGCATTTGTCCAGAATCTGCTTGAAGCCGTCCTCAATTTGCGCTTTGTTACTGATCATCACCACATGCACAAGGAAGGGATTAAAGAAAATTAGCCTCCCACAGACAATTGGGCTCGTACAGAATGAACACTCTTCGACGCTGTGACTAGAGTACTAATATTGCTATCCTCAGTGAGCGAGTGGTTACGTACGTTGCGGCACCGTCTGGATTGAGAACGATTATCTGTTGATTAAACCATCATCAGCATATTTGATGAAGCTTTGAAAATACTCTGGAAATCATAACCTGATTCATTCAAGACACATTACGACGCACGGAACAATTTCCGGAAGCCCATCCGAAGTGTTTGGAAGCCGTGTCAAGGGTGTTGTCGTGTTGGTAATGAATCTTGGAAATCGCACTGAATGATCCATTCAGACAATCATTTTTTTAAACAAAGAGGGTCTTGTCAATCGACTGTACTTCCCTGCCGATGACAATCACAATATTATAATGTGGAGGGAGTGGTAAGAAGGGCGTGGACCGCGGACGCGTACCGTTGACAATCCACCTTGCTCACAGGAAGGCGCCGAAAGCAATCGATGCCCCCGGAGTCTCCGTCAATGGGCTTGCTCATGGTGGAAGTCAGCAAGCTGATAGCAGCAAGAAACACGAATCGACATGCAATCATTTTTCTTTTAGTCTTGAGTCTTGAGAAGGCGTTCACGTTGCAAGGTTGTTGAAGGATATTATGGGTATAATATGAAGCGGAGATGAGAATTGAGGGTGGTGGATTGATGATCCACTTTTGATGCCAGCTATCAATCCAGTCTTATGTGCTCCTTACTGGGGACGCCGCTGACTACGAGCTGCAGGTTGTTCTGATCTTGATGTGAAGTCCATGGAGGATCTCAGCTCCAGCTGTCAATGTCTCGGAAGGCCAAATTCTTCCGGTAGTTAGGATGGCTGATCAGTGGAAAGTATGTCTGCATTGAGAGGTTTTGAAATTTGGGCCACTGTGACAAGGCAGACAAGCTCACAAACATGGCTTCTGGAGTCGTGACTGAGGGATAATAGTGTGCTAACACTGAGCTCGTTCCATCCTAGGTGCAATCCCAGACTATGGCTCTGGAGATTATTCGGAACAGTCCGCTGGCAAGATCAATCGTTCGGTTGTCGGGATTGGAACAAGAGGCCGTAAATCACTTCAGATCCTGTGGCCTGCTTCGATGTCACCAACTTGACCTGGTTTGATTCAGAGGATTCGGCTACATATTCTCACGAGCCACGTCCAAACGGGTCACCTTGTCCTCATGGGGTGTTTTCAGCAGCAGAACTCCCGCTGGCACAACGTTTGAATCACTCAAGTCATTCAACATGAAGAACCTGCTGTCAAAGCTATCAGATTGTGTTGATGGACTGCACAGACGTGCAAGAGGCTATCCGCTCTCGGAACAAGGTAACGTAAACGCAGTGATGCTGCATAAAACTGAACCGGAAGAGCAGATGAAAGGGCAATGGGAGTTGAACAATTAAAGCAGAATTGCAGTGTTGGGATTGCATTGCACTGAGGGGGGGAGGTGTTCCACATTGCATCAAAGAAAACAGCCAGCTAGAAAAAATTGAACAAGCGAAGAGATTGGAGGGGATGAGGATGTTTCCTAATCATGAAACCCGAAAGCCCTTAATGCAAACCAATGTGTGGGATACGAGAGTGACGGGTGATTAAATTGGACAGTGTTTTCAGTCTAGCACCATCGAAAGCGACCACGACACATGTACCGAATCCCCACCGATCCAAGGGCGAACCCAAGGACCGTTGGAGGGAAAAGGGTAACGCAGAAGGACCGGTGTTTGAGTGCGTGATTTCTTGGGGGGAAAAGAATGGGAGGGACATCGGCCTCCTTTTTATACCGCTCCCCCCGCTATTCCATGACAATCGGCCAACACGTGGGCGAACATTAAGACATGTAACCCTAACCTCCTCGACCCGAAACTTGAAATGTTTCACCACCCGTACCACGGGGAGTCTGGGGCCTCCCGAGTTGCCTGCCCCTGCACTGCCCCAGATTTTTATGGACTGACTGCTTTTCCATGTCTATAGACACGTTGCTCAAGCAAAACCCATTTTGGAGTTTTTCCATTAGACTATCTTCCATGGTGTGCAAAAAGGAAACCTAGGTGAGTTGGATTCTGTTTCCAGCCGTAGCAATGATTCCAATCTCTGTGTTGAGATATGTTCAGAGATTGTGACAGCTACCCTTGTAATTAAGCATGGGCAATTTTCTTTTGGACATGTGTTGCAGTTCCCACTGGCAAATAAACTGTGCACAATGGCTACTTGAAAACTTGAAATCAAGGGTGACTGCTGACCGGAAGAGGCTCTTGAATCATCAACCTTGTTGGGTCACAGCATTTCTCTCACTAGCTATCAGGAATGCCAGGATCAATGAAAACTACAAACATTGGACTGTGTTGTAACCGTTCACTTGAATAATGTATAGTTGCAAACACATACGTTTGCGTTCAAGGTTGTCATCATCCCTCGGTATCAAAAGCAAGAAAGAAGATTGGATTGCTTTGCATGTATGAAAAAAGCTCTAGCCATATGAAGATAGTGAGAAGATGTCGATCGAGCCGTTCCTTATCTAGCCAGTTTGTTTCTATATTCCAAATGAGTCTATAGTTCCCCAGTAACCTTGTCAACCACATGTTCTCCGGCCTCTTTGACTGTCATGAAAGCTTGCAAGATGTTTTGCTTAATTTGAAGCTCCTCGAACTGTAGGACATTGTTCGTGATCAGTACATGCAATTGATAGTCCGATGCAAAAGATGGATCGACTCGACTCACCTTTTCACTTGCCATGGTAGCTCCCTTCTCAGCCAGCTTCTTCAGACGCTCGGACTCCTTGCTGAGCCAGGATTCGTCAGTTGCCAACTTGTTCATCACCTTCACGTAATAGGAGGCCATCTTTTCGGAGGCAGATGAGGCAAGCTCGGTCGCTTTTTCGATGATCGAAGGCCGTTCCTCGCTGGAAAGGCCGAGGAAAGACTTGGCTATTTCGTCCAAACCGGCGACCCGCCCGGCCTCGGGAAGAAGTAGACCACCTGATGCTCTGAATGTACCGCCTAGAGGTATCGCCACAGTTCTGAAGCTTAGCTTAAATCACTTCAAGTTCAGAGTCAATTGAGGAAGGTTTCGACTCGGTACTTACACTGTTTGTTGAGAAACTTGATGATAGCTTCGGCGGATCGGGCTTCCTGGTAGTCGATTGCAGCTTTGCTCTTATCCTTGAATAAAAATTTGATGGTTGGAAATCTGAGCAAAAAAAGAGGGAACAAGCAAAACAATATTCTTCGATCAATGGCATTGCGATGTAATGACAACGGTGAGGCCAGTGGGCACCGACCCTGATACGCTGAATCGGCTCGCTATGTCTCGGTTAGCTGAAGCATCCGCATCGAAATGGGCGATTCGACACTTGGAGTCTGTCTCAAACGCTTTGGAAGCCTGGAAACAGACGTTGCATCTTTCGTCAGCCGTTTTAGAAGATTCGGATCGCAGAATCTTGACTCACCTGGTCCCAAGGATTGAGTAAACTTTTGCAATCTATCGCAAATCAAGAAATTATCCGAGAAACATGTCAATTCCAAATTGGTATTTAATGAAACATTCCACTAGCCACGACTTACGACCACACCAAGGAGCGAAAAATCTAGTGAAAGCGAATGGGGATGTCGTTTTTTTCTAGCTTCAGTTTTAACTGTTATAGGTGTGATGGGGTTAACTGGGAAAATGGGAGATTTCTTACGCAACAAGAGTTCCTGAAAGATGAGGCAAAAAATGCTGGTTAGCCAAGAAGGTACAAGAATAGATCCCATCGAACTGGGGGGAGGAGGGGGCAATTGAAAATCAAACTCACCAACTTCTGGTACTTGAATTTGAGCATCAAAGTTGGTATGATCGAGCTTAGTGGAATGTTTAGCATCCTCCAAACCAGCGAGGACACCATTCGACAGGAGTGAGGAGCTGACCAAGAGCCCGATGGCGGTCCTGAAGCTGAATCGATTCATCCTGTGCGGTGTTTTGATTGGAAGAGGTTGTTTGTTGGTGGATGGATGGCTTTTGAAGAGTGAGGGAGTGGTAGACAAGAAGAGCTTGGGCAACTATTACGGGTGTGGATGGGGCTGCGTCAGTGCTACGTCACAGGCCAGGCGATCGACCTCGCTATAAGGCTAACGTAGCCTCACTGATGCTTATAAGCAAACAGCCAAACGTGTCACCCAAACCAGATCCAAGCATGAGCTGAAAAAAATTAAAAACTGCTCTGGAAACCGGCTATGTGCTGTTGCTATCTCAATCCCACAAATCTTGGAGGATGGTGTTCCAGGTTGTTAGAGCATCTCCACCGCGGTCCCTAAATCGGGTCCCTATCCCGAATTTAGGGACCGCGGCCCAAAAAACACCGCCCACCGCGGTCCCCATCGTCGTCCGTATTTTACGGATTTCATCCTCGGTCCCTCTCCAGACCCTGGATCCAGGGATTGGATAGGGACCGAGGATTGTGCACTCACAGCACACCTCAATGTAAATGTCACACACCACACACCACAACCTCAAGTAACATCTTGCCAACACCGCACCAATACTCGCATGTCATGTTGATTTACAGACTGCCCGGTGTGGCACAACAAGTCTGCGAGTCCCTATCTGCATTCCCGAGTCCGTATTTTCGATCGATAGGGACCCGAAAATACGGACCGCGGTGGAGATGCTCTTAGGAGAGGAAGCCAAATAAAATAAAGCACGGGCAAATTGGCCTGCGAGAAAATTATGTATCAAAAACAAAACATTAAAATTAAAAATGGTGAAAAAAGTGTTGCCATATGTACACTATGTACTAATTTTTGCTGACTTTACATAATCACATTTGGCATGATACTGTTGTAAATAGTACACACATCCCACTTTGCTCCAAGCCATCTGGCCAAGATACATAGATTCCTCAGCTGGCAAGTTGGTGTGTGAACATTTCCTGCACCAGCTTTCCGGGTAGAAATTCTGCTGTGCGGATGGTTTTCAGTTTGCTGAGTGGACTGAGCAAACCTTCTATGTTAGACCCTCTTGCCTCACAGGCTTGAGGTTATACAGACACAAGGAAGAATGGAACCCAGCAAAAACAAAATACATCTTGTACCAGATCACTGAGGAGGGATTTTCTTGTTACCTTAGACACTGCTTGCTGTGGAATTTTCCTTTGCAAGCAAGCTAAAGGTCCCTAAGGATGAAGCCTACAGCTATCACGAGGAAGCTTGCGGGCTCCAAAGTCAGAAAATGACAACAGTTGGAAGCTTTGGAAGAATACAGGTCCATGTATGTATGGATTACCTTTGATCAAATCAGCTAACTTTTCTTTCACTCACTTTCTGCTGATGAGAGTAAAACCATTGGAATCCTGATGGAAAGTTCACTCTGTCCCCCCTCCATGCCATGGCCCTGCTGCAGCAGAGCTGCCCCCCAGGGGGGTGGGTCAGGTCCCATTGGTGCCACTAGCCAGTACATCTGGCTGTATTCCTCCAAACTTTCCAACTGCAGTTGAATCTGATGTTGTTTTTTGGATTTTGTGACTTCTGAGCCCGCAAGCTTTTTCGTTATAGCTGTACCTGGCATGCAGGCACACATTGTAGCTGCTTGACCAAGAGGAATATCTGGAGAGACACAACACTGATCCCCCAAGCAGAGCCAACTCCAAAACAAAAATCCAATAGTAATTGGCTGGCCTGAATCCAAAAGTGATGAGTTGAATACAAGTTGAGCTTGAAGCCAAAGCTACAGAAAGGGAATGCATGTTTGTTTTTTCAAGTCAGAGAAATGAGATAGAGTTGGATGTGGGCCAAAAACAGAGAAATATTAGTGGTGATTACCAATAATAAACCTTAATTTGACTTCACTGGTGCTTCACTACATATGATATCAACTACATTGAACCAACTGCTTTTATTATTAGGTGAATTGTCTATCCTGATTACATTCAACCAACAATTCTTAAAAGCAGCTAGCTTTGGCAGTTGTTTTATCAAGGGATGACAAGGACTCATAGTTTGATTATCCTTCTGGTCATATCAAGCAACAAATTCAAATCACCCAAATGAAGGAACAACTTCAGCCATTCATAGATCTTATTTTCTAGGCTGTGCTCTATTTTTACTAACTTGTGCAGTGCATAAATGATTTCATCTTTTATTCTATCAATCACACCATCATTGATTATTATAAGGGAATAATTGCTTAGTCATGTACCAGAAAGCGTGTTGATTTTGTAACATTTCAAATATTTACTATTCATTGGGCTAGATTTGTTGTCTCTGAAGGGTCTTTGAATGGAAATATAGCAATCCTCTTAGTTTCAACTATTTGATCACTGGCCAGACAGAACATCTGTCACTGATTAATGACAAGAGGTTGACGGATGATTACGAGATAACTGTCGAGACTGTCTGATAGGAATTGAGAAACAGAAACAGATTGGATAGAGAAAACACTAGACAATAGATAAGTTCCAAAGATTAAAGGAGCAAGATGCCTCAAGAATAATTGATAATAAATAATTGATGGTAACAATCTGCCAGCTAAACAAGATAAGAAGCACCAAACTGCTGTCTATAGAAAATCAAGATAATTTGTTTCGAAAACAAGCCAGTCTACTGTCCTTCCATTGCTACAGTATCAAAAATTAAAATAATAGTTTTCAAAGAAAAAAAAAAAAATCGAGATTCATACATTGGGTAAGTATAGCCCTGATTGAGGATATTCAAAGAGCTAAATATTACTTGGTATATCCAGCTTGGGGTGAATGCTGTAAGAAGAACTGATGATGCAAATGTGGTACTTGGTGTTGCTGATGCAATTGCTGAACCTGCGCAGCAGCTTGAAAGTTGGTCGTAGACCTTGTTGGGGGATCTCTATTGACAATAGAGGAAATCGCCATTCTATGACCGCCAATTGAATCGCGACGGGAGTTGCCTGGATCAATTGGAGTGGTGTACATTTCTAACATTCGTTCTGCAGAATCATACATCGGCGATGAGAGGTGGGTTGAAAACGCTTCTGTGAGACCATGGCCGCTGTCACTCGCTGAACCCATACTTAAGCTAGCTAAAATGTAGTCCTAGTCAGTTATGTGATATATAAAGCCGAAGTGATTATCTCCAACCCACCTGCGTGAGGAGAAGGAGAGCTGCATGAGTGAAGATGCCCCACGTTACTGGGAGAAGAAAGTACTGTATGATCTCCGGTAATCGTGCCATTCAGGCCATTCCCTTTCGCCCTACTCAAAGAAAATAGTTGCCGGGCTGCATCTATCTCGGCCGGGTTGCGGTTACTAGTCGTTCTTGCTGATGGACCAGTGAGGTTAGAAAAAGATGATCGGCTTGACCTGGCTGCGGGGGAGCTTGTTGAAGCCGAGTAAGAATACCGACTAGTGTTACCCGCACGGCCGCCATTTTGCGACTGGGAAGACCAGGTTTGGGCGGCCGCTGCTTTCTTGTGCTCGTCAAGAACATAATTCGCACGAAAGCGAGTGATGCCAATTTCGCGCAACTGAGCCCACACATCCTCAATGCACGTCGGTTCTGCAAGTGGGAGCTTAGCGGCAGTAAGCCCGCAGGCATTGCAGCTTTCAAGTACGGAAGACAGTTATTAGGAAGGAAGTGATTGTAAGAACTGATGTCTTAAGAGAGTCACTTACAGGGTTCGCAACCCAGAAGGTCCTTTCCTCCACTCAGGGGTTTGCCTCGAAGTGCACACTGCGCAAACATCCGGCGGGGTTTTTTTGCGATATTGTCTGGTTGCAAGTTTCGCGGACTGATTGGAGCATTTTTTAAGAAAAACACACTATGAGAAACTAAGCATTACGAAGTAGGAGGCCTTTTTTTTGCTTGGTATTCTAGAGGATTGACTTACCGGGGGTGCAGGGGTGACCATTTGGGGAATCTGATTTGGCGCCAGACGAGGTGCCTCGGTCATCATACCAGCTTGCATATCGCTGGAAGTAGTCATGATGGAAGGCGGTGGCACGGTGTTACGCGCGGAATTTGTATAAAAAAACCCTTGGCTCGAGAGGTCTTCGGCTAAATTATAAATCTGAGATTGTGCATTTGAGTGAGGGTCTAATGAGGCGTAGGCGGGATAAGGAGAGGTCGACTGTAGACTACGCAAGGAGCCTACTGAAACAGCCGAGTTTCTGCGCTCGTAAGAGGGATCATTGACGGTTGTAGAGTAAGATTCCCTCCGGTTATGACGATTGTCGCGTAAATTACAAGGATGGCCGGGGCGGGTGATTTCAAATGCGGCGTTTGGATTGATAGCAGAGCTCAAATCGGCGGGCGACAATGGTTGATGAGGCAGTTGATGAGTCAAAGGGCCATGAGTAGGATTATGCGGCTGGGTGATGAGTGAAGAAAGGGTTGTGCCGGTACTCGGGGGGCTTAGTGAGAATGCATTAAAATCACCATATGGATTTGGGCTGGAATGATTGCTAGTTGGAGAGCTGAAGCCCGAATGGGCGGTTGTATTGAGCTGATAGGATGTCGGTGGATGATGAGAATACACCGATGGAGGGCAGGTCTCGGTTGGAGACTCCTCTCCCATCCCCTGAAGGGTAAATCCACTCAAGCCATTCTGATAAGAGAACGGAGGAAACGTTAACATTTGGTGATGCTCCGGGGCGGGTATATTGTTGATGATTGATTGCCGCCGGCTGCAATTGACGGGAGGTAGCGGGACGGGCGACTCGGAACGCTTGATGGTAACCATGGGGGCAGACTATCGCAAGCAAGATGTCCAGAGATAGTCCGGCTTAGGAAACAAATGAGAAAAAATTACTTTCAGGTTGGCAGGCGTCATACAGACTACTCCGGGAAGAGAGAAGAAGATGCCGGCAAGAAAGAAAAATGTTGATGACAGATTGTAGGTACGTACAAGAAAGTGCCGGTTGAGCGAGTTCAACTGGACACAGGTTTCGAAGTGGATGGCTTGGTGATCTGAATTGATCGAAAGCCTCTGCGAACTAAGCTTGCAAAGAGGAAACCCAGGCTTATCACCCACCCATCAAGTTAAGTCAATCAGCACAAGTTATTCATAAGGTGGTGTGTACATAATTACATACAGCGGAATGATGATGGAGGGAATGAAGAAGGACGATGGACGAAATCCTAACAAATGAGATTGCAGGTCTCTATGGTTAATCAATGCCACAGTTAGACGCACTCGGGAAAGAACACTTGAATAGATCTGGAACGGATAAGGATGGATGAAATCTGAAATCTTTGATGAAGGCTAGATTCGAGGGAATCGTGTGGTGATCACGGAAAGAAGGTATGTATCATGATAGTAGAATTGAATTGAAAGCAGATTCCATTGAAATGCCACCTGAGATTGATGATAACAGTAAGAAAGTAGAAATGGGAATATCAACGTTGGAACTTGGAAGCGAGGATAGCTGGACTTTGACTATATAAATTGGAGAGGCGTTTGTGGAGAAAGAATTAGTGGAACGGGTCTGATGTATGAATTGAAGAAGGCACCCTCGAAGGGAAGAAGTCTTCCTCCCGGCGCGCCGGTTAGAGATTTAGGGGGCTGCTGCTCGACGCGCGTGGTCCCAAATTCTAAAGGACGGCAACAACAATCTTGTTGTTGATGAGTGCAGCGCAGTGAGCAAGATATTCTGGCTCTTGGGAACCGATATCTAGTGATTCACTCTATGAAAGAGCCCCTCACCATGCGCCACAAGGATGTTGAGAAGCAGGTGATTTGAATAGGGAAGCTGTACCCCAGAAAGCTTACCAAATTAAATAAATAAACCGGGTCGAAAAAACTTTGGCCAGGCTGCACACGGTTCAAATGACAGGGAAAGCACGCTGCTTATATATGTAAGTACGTGTGTTATATGAATGATATGTCGGTTGGTTGGTTGGTTGGTTGTCGAAGCAAAGAGATTTAAAAGCCTATCATTCTTTCTCCTCTCTGGTGTATCACTTGGGTTAGTTAGTGGTAAAAAGCTTGTTTGGAGAGAGATACTGAGATCAGGCCTCACAGTCTGAAGAAAGTTTTGGATCATGAGGATCACGTCGATCGCAAACCGCTGAAAAGCTCTGTATTACTGAAAATTGGATAATGAAACTCAAGTCAAGAAGATATGGTAGATCGATCTCAATCTCAAGTAATTTAAGCAGCCCACAGAAATCAGTTTACGTGTCTGTCACGACAGGCTCTATCGTTTGGCACGGATCAGAACAGGGATACCGCATCGTCCGGAAGAGGCCGGAAGGGAAACCCTCTGTCAGAGTAGAAACGTATGGAGCTCTTTCCTGCAAGCATGCCTCTGCCTACACCCAATGTCACGGCTGGAGGGCCCAGGGGATGTAAGTACCGTCACGTCATCTACGGGTCATGATGGCTGGAGGAGTCACCTTGTGCGCCCGAATTTTTGACAACCCCACTTCCATCATTCTGAACTACATAGCTACAGTCAAACCCCTATTATGTAACCCATGCCCCTTGATGGACGTGTTTTTCTATGGGTTCAGGGGGAGTATGGCTCAGTAGGCTGGGTCTTCCTTCCACCGTTTTATGTACAAACTAGAGCTATACTACGGGCGGCTACGCTGAAGGGGTCAAAGGCCACAACTTCCTCCTGCAGAAGCCTCGTCACTGTTGAGCTACTTCAGAGCTCTAAATTCGGCTTTCTTCGGTTAAGCCAGAAGTTGCTGAACTGTGGGTGGGTGCAACTCAAGGCATCTTTTGGGCTTTTCGATTAATTTCAGTTTTGCTGAGAACACTCCTGATCGCTTGGTTGCGAGTGGCTGGAACCAAGTTGCTGGCTCGGGTTGGAATTGGCGGCCTTCACTCGCTGATTTTTAGAGTTCCAGACAGATTCGAGTTCTCACCAAACAGAGGCAGCCTGAGCAAACATTCAATGAGAGAGACAAATCAACAACAAAGGAAAAACGGAACAATTAACTGTGATATCTCTCCAATAGACGCGAGAGAACGCGAGTGAAGCAACTGAAGCAAAACGCATGTCAGCTAAAGTAGCTAGATCTTAAGGGTGCAAGCATACATAAATATATGTATTGATATGTATATTTATATGTGTGTGTCCATCTCCTTGGAACCTCGCCGATGTTCAACAGGCTCGCGTGCGTGGCTGGATGCACCTGTTAAACCGGGTCTTGTCAATCGGTGTTCTCTTCTTTGGGTATGAAGCTATTGCCTAACGGTAACCCAAGCGACGGCCTCCTTGTTGCTTTAGAAAGGTCTCTGCCGAGCATTGCCCAGACGCGTTGATCGGTGATTCTTGTGCAGCTTTAACTCCTCCGCCCCGGTTAACTTTTTGTCAATGTTATACAAGTGCTAGGTGGGGGGCGTCCCCGGTCACCCAAGATATGTATCTCCGAATCCGGTGAAATAGAGGTTTCCGCAAAACGTCCTTTATGAATAAGTGGAGTTCGGATATTTGACCAGCGGTATCTGGCAGAGACTCCCGAGCGATGGCAAGATCACTTGTCTGTGCAACGGGTGGGTTTGCTAGCCGGTGCAGCAACGCTGCCTTGGCCGAAGGGACCTTGGTGAAATTCAACACTTCAAATAGCGGACCACATAGGCTCGGGGCAGACGCCGAGGCCTGAACAGGACAGCTTCGGACAGCTCAATCTAGTTGTGATCTACCAGAGAACTTTGGGACAGTGTGCAAGGAGGGATTCTCACATCTTGAAGATTGCCTATTGAATATCATTGAAAATCAGTAGAGGGTCGTAAGGGGGAAGCATCCTAGAGCATTGCCATTAGCTACTGAGTACTTAATCTATATTTTACACTAGCTCCTAGCTCTACGGGGTTATGTATCCAACCATCGATTACCAAAGTCAATTGAGATTACCCATGGATGGTCACGACAAGAAGCTTTCAGGATGAGTGGATCGGAATGCATAGACGTCTCTGGGGAGAAGGTCACCCGGTGTGTTGTTTCCTGCAAGGCACAGGTCTCGCCTGCAGACAAGAACCACAGCCAAGTGACAGAATCATTTTCCCACAACTTTTTCTCGTTCAGTCCCAGAGAGATAGTCAGGAGCAACTGACATGGTGGTGAACTAATTAGGGGTGCACAAAAGCCTCTCCAAAGACTTGAATGTTCATCATTTAAACGTAAAACGGAAATCAAAAGCGGGATTTCCCCCATTGATACGATTATGCACAGTCATGTTTTATACCGCTATGCAGTAATGATAAAGGAGTTGAGGGACTCATGGTCCCAGCTAGAATGTAGTACGTACAGAGTTTGCCTCGCGTTCGACTTCAGCCACTGGCAGTCATGAACAGTCCCCAGCTTTTCTAACACCCAAATCCCAAGATACTTGGGGTCTTGCGCCAATTTATGAAGGGTGAATTTCCTTCGAAAGCACGTAAATCGATGCGGTTCAATTTATGGCAAACATCATGAGGCAAGAGTATAGGTAAAGATGAATGTTGGTGGTGCATTAATTGTAAGCCAGTTCAAGCTCCCAATGAAGTGTGTCATATTAGGAAACAGCATCATCGACCCGCTGATTTTTGAGAAAGAACAACTCATAGTAAAATTGACCTCAGAAAGATGAACGGGAAACTGGCACATATTGATATTATCGAACCCGACATGACAAACTACCGCGTAAATGAAAGGAGATCAGACTGATTCTACAATGTCTGGCGAATGAGTCAGAATCAGTGACCCCATGCTGAACAACGCGGGGCGCGAGTGAAGCGCCCCAAAGACCGTTTATGTTGATTGCTGATCAGGACCAGGAGAAAAACACAAGAGAGGAAAGCACTGGACTGCTTGTTCTCGGGGGCAAATTGCAATCAGGGGCGATCTCCTCAGACCATCGGTAGTAAGATACATAAATCATAGGAGAAAACTCAAGAAATCCATCACTCTTAGCGCAAGCCAATTCATCAGCCTCGATGAAAAGCGATTCTATCATGCTCAACGGAAGCCAAGAAGAGCCAGCACTTTTCTTTGTTTCTTACTGCCAATCAGCGGCAACGGGCATTTGACTTTGTTTAGCTTGAAGTGCAATTAATTAGTGTCCAGCTTGCCTAGAAACCTAACGGATGGCACTGGTATCAAGTGCTTGCACTGACTTGTCCGACCCTTCTTCAGAAACTAGATACGCCATGTCCGACACCGGCGGCCGGTCAAGCGGTCGAACTCAGCCAATCTGATCATTGCTCACAACCCTGCTCACGACCCTTCATTGTAGTCTCGGCCAATCAGGTTCTGGGCGTAGCATTTTGCATGCAGTCCAGTGCAATAATGTGTGGGAGAAAAATAAATCAACACAACCATTTATGCCAAGAATCCTCCTTTAGTGAGGCACTTGCATACGTATGTGGACGTTGGACAAGTATGTATGCTCAACAATCATAGATTGTGAAAGCCCTTCGCACACCGGAAAGACCGGCACGCTTCCCGTTCACTACGTCACTATGTAGCCACAGGGATAAGAGGTGAACAGAGTAATTATCACCGACATGAAATGGCTTGATACCTCTTGACAAATTGCAATATTACCGGAGCGCTGGTGCACAATGGCACATTCCATAACCGGATCACAATACAGGCCTCTGTGCATTTATTTATGTACGCCTTAGTACGTCTTCCCATGTACCTGCAGCGATTGTGCATACCCGATTAAACTTTCCCATAGCCGATAGCCACCTCACACCATCAGCATTGTACACCGACATCCGGTAAGAATGGGCCGCAAAGAAGCCTGCAAAATCTTGAACCTAAAAAGAAACTTCCATCCAAGGGGCCCAGCTTCTGAGGCTGAACCCAGCGGCGGCTTGCGACAATTGTACAATTCAACTTCCTCGACGAATGTCAGTCATTCAGAACCACTCGGAAACATAGGATTTCTCGTACCGGCGGTTCTATTTTTGTACAATTCCTGTTCAAAGCTCACCTGTTCCCGAGTTCCTGGAAGTTCTCCGAGTGACCCGAAATCTCGCCCAATACACCGATTCGTGTTCACAACTTACAAATGTCTGTTTTGGAGCAGACCCAAAAACCTTGTATTGGAACTGGAATACCAACTCCGGACCAAGGTCCAAGGCAAAGACCCCAACAAAATCCAGACCCAATACAAATTATAAAGTGATTCTGGTTACAAGAGTTTGAGAATACTAAAGGGGATTCAGGAGTCTGATGTCTCTGGTATATTTTTTCCAGAGGAATCTGATAGTCAATATCACTACCACCTATACTTGATATCCCGCACAGGATATCTGGCAAAATATCAGGGATACCCAGTAGACACCAGTTTTTTTCTGTAAGTTTTCTGTAAATTTCTGTGAAATCTCTGTAAGTTAACTGTAAGTTGCTGAAGCTGCAAAATCTCTGTAAATTAACTGTAAGTTGCTGAAGTACCAAAAGATTGCAGAACTGTTACAGAAAATTTGCAGAAGTCAGAAAACATGTTAGATAGAAAAACTGATCTCTACTGGATATCCCTGATACTTGACCTGATATCCTGTGTGGGATATCAAGTATAGGGGTCTTGTGAATACATGTAAGGTCATTTTGTTGAATAAGTTGATCCATAAAATTACATCAGCATCCAACCAGTCCAAACTTTTCTGACTCTACACCCAGCCCCATTAATTTGTGTTGGAACAAGACTCCTGCTACAGTTGCTCCCAAGGGGAGAGACCCAGGCCAGTTGAAACTCAACTTTGGTGATTAAATCAAATTAAACACAGTCAATTTGATGCAGAAAGATCAGAATGAGTTTGCCACCAAAAATATTGGGCCAGTTATGCTAATGGTAGCATTAGCACAGCACAACATAGTGGAATTCTGCTAACATTTAGCATAGTACAGTGGAATTCCGCCACAAATATGCTAACAAAACATGATCAGGCCACAGAGCAAGGGCCTTCTATGCTACACTACAGTGCCTTTTGGCAGTTTTTTGGTTGTTCCCAAAAGCACTGTAGCACAGAATAATGCAGTGTAGAAGGACTAACAGTGTGCTAACACTGCAACTTTGGTGTGCTCTTTTGAGGGCCAGTCCACTAATTTTAGTGGAAAATTTAGTGTAGTGTAGAGTAGCATCCCATGCTGTCACCACTCAAAAGAAATCAATAAACCAAAACAGCAATTTTCATATCTCAAATGATCAATATTGTTCAAGATCACAACATAGACCAAGGAAGTCAACAAGCTTCTTTCAATCGCTATAAGAACAACTTAAGACAGCTAGTTTCAGTCATTGAAACAACATTAGACTGCCATATCTTGGTGAGCAATCTCAGACCCAGTGCCATACATGCCATACAAACATCTGATCTTAATTTTAGATCATTTATTCATAAAACTATCTTAAAAATTTATCAGGGAGTGAACTGAATTGCTTTCTCATTTCACTCTTTTCTGTTAAAATTCAATAAAAATCAAGACATCAGCTGTAAGACTGGTTTAATCTACCTGACCTGAAGGTGTAACAGCTCCATATCATCCAATTATTCAAAACCAGAACTTTTATTATTGTTTATTCTGATGATCAATAGATCCCCTGGCTTTCATATTCTTTGGTTTGACACTCTAACCTCACTCTCTTCCGCTCCCTCAACTCTTCCATTCTACCCACATTTGGTCATACCTCACTAATTTTATCTACTCATCCTCAACCTAATTCTAATCATTTCACATTGACTTAAATTCTCTAAAATCTTCCCATCAAACCTATTTTTCTTTCATTACCTTCTCCCTTGTCTTTTCCCATTTATTCTTTACATTCAATTCCCTTCCACTTTGAGCATTTCCACTGGGGGCCCTATATTGGGTCCCTATCCCACATATAGGGACTGCAACACCAAAAACCACAGCCACCATGGCCCCTATGTGGGGCCCTGTAATAGGGATGGTGGTTGAAAGTCCCTATTAAGCTTTATGTATTATATGGACTCAATAGGGCCTGGCTGATCAACCCTATGCTGTGTGAAGTTTGAACCTTCCAAAATTGTATGGTTTCACACATCGTCACGCACACCAATAATCTTACTGATTGGCTTTCAAAAAGTATTTAATTCAATGAAATCAAGTTAAATAAAATGTTGAATTCAACTGTCAATCTTAAGCTTCAAAAAACCCAATAAATCAGGATAAGATGGCTGATGCATATTAAGCTAAAATATAGAGATAAGAAAAAAAATCAGATGATCAGGCAAGAAGGTAGTCAAAGATAGTCAATAAGCTAGTTTGAAGACATTTGTTTTTCAAATTTTAACACATTTTCTTTCTTGTAATTGCGCAATGAAAACATTGTGTAATCCCCATTCTTTCATCACTTCTTGGGTGATGTTCTTGGTTTGGAAAATTTGGGGATTGGTTGCTTTCAACGGTGCAACAGAGACGATACAATACGGTATCAGGTGTTTATCTGTATTGTCTCAGAATTTGAATACCCAAAAATACCGGATTTGTGTTGTCTCACTTTCCTGAGACAATAAACACGTATTAGGGGGTTTCAGAATTGGTCCAGGAGCCCGCACAGGTCCCAAAACCCAGGAAAATATAACTTCCTGGAAGACAACCTGTCGACCTGCGCTCCTGCTTAGGATGACCCTCCAGGACGGTCACTTCAGGAGCAGGAATCATGCCTGAAACTTGCCACAAATCGGATAAAAGGCATTTGTACACAGTCACCCGGGGGTTCTCTTATGTGAACCACCACCCCCCTTCCAATGGTAAAAAAACTCAGCACCCACACTGCCTCAGCTAACTGCTCGGACATGCCCGTCCGACAAGTCATCGGACCATCCTGCCCAAGAGGTTCTTGTGTGACGAGGCATTGAGCTAGCTTATACGAGCTGTTGACGGGTGGAACAATCTGCTCAAACAGGCGAGTCCGACCTCTCGTCGGACAACCATGTCCTGAGCTAGCTGGTCCAAGCTGTTGACGGGAGGAACGATCTGCTCGGACAAGCCGGTCTGAGGATTTGTTGGGCTGGCCAGTCCAACCAGATAGTTAACGCAGTGCAAATCAAGTCTCCAGCAGAAAAAATACATACCTACCGATCCATCTGCCACCAGGTGAACCCCGTCTCTTGTAGGTTCAGAGCTTTAAATCCAACTCAACAGCTATGCCACCAAAGAAAACTAGCACCCCGGTGTGGTGGTTCATCTGCATTACAATCTCATCACAGATGGCCCTCTTGATCGGTCCCAAACACCATTGATCATAGTTGTTGTTCCTGCTGAGCCATTGGAGGAGGGTTGTAATAGTGCTAGGGCCACTGTTGACCCCAGCGGTGTCCCAAGGTAACTGGGGAAAGGGCCAAATGGCCATGAGTGAAGCAATATGTCAATTCAATAAATGGAAGCATGGATGGAAATGCTCGCCCAAAAACGGGGCAACCAAAACGCCCGTGGTTGACTGGGCAGACATGTGGTTCCACATGAATGGCGAGGGGCTAAACAGGGGCGTTATCATGGATTCTGGGTCCCTGTTTGGAAACAGATAAATCTTGCCAAGAGTTTCAGACATCTCCTGATCTGTGGCTCCTGGGTACTAGCGGACAAATTTCCTGTGGTGGGGCTTCAAAGTAGAACCCACAGGAATTCATTTTTGGCGGGGGTGTTTTTTTCCTGGGATTCGGACCTGCGCAGGCTCCTGGACCAATTTTGAATCCCCCTATTAGTGTCTTTGGAAAGTGAGACAAGTATTCTGTATTGTCTCAGATGACTGATCCCACCAAAAACGTATTTGATACATAAGATATTTGGCCGTATTGAAGAAAAAACAAAAAACAAAGAATTTTTTTCATTTTTAAAGGGGCTTGGTTAATCGACTCCCCAAAATTGGAGAGTCGACTCCCAAACCCCGAAACCCCCGAAATTAGGGAGTCGATCCCCCAAAACCGTCGACCGGTTTGGGAGTCGACTCCCTAAGAATTTAATAAAAAAAAAAATAAAAACCCCCGGTTGGTTCGGGAGTCGATCCTCCCAAACCGACCAGGGTTTGGGGGTCGATAAACCAAATCAACCCCCACCCCACGGCCATCCCCCTGGCCGCGAGACCGCTTTTCCAAAGGCCAATAGGGGAAACCCTTTCGGCCGTTGAGGGTATGTACAGTCCCACCATCGAGAGGGTTTCTAATTCGGAAATAGTGCGAATCGTTGGGAGTGAAACGGGAGGATTAAGACCTGTGGAAAAATCCGTTCAGGATTATGGAGTGTCTGTAAGAACTTCTCCTATGCTCATGTGGAGATTGGATCTAGGTAGGTTGTTTC